TTCCGTACCCGCCCCTGTCATGGCCGCCCCCAGTGGGTCTCTTCCTATTATGACGGTTGGCTCAGGAGAATCTGTAGCCTCATCTCATTTCCCAAACCTCCCACAAGCACCTCACCAGTCACCATCCCAAGTCCAACCAGCCCTTCCTACACAAGATATCGTTGCCAGTGCAGCGCAAGCTCTGGATTCCTCTGATACAGTTAGTTTCCACGCACCACGGAACCCAAAGTCCCCTGATGGTAGCAGTGTAAATGGGGAAAGCCCACCACAGCCCCTGGCTAATAATATTCCTTGTGCGCCTCCGGCTGACCCCCAAGCTGCCCAACTTACCACAGATGGTGCACCTTTAATGTATGTCACATTCAACCCATCCCAGGCCGCAACTTTGGTAGCCTGACTCCCAGACCAAGAGAGACAACCCATGCCCTTCTTCCGAAGGATCGCTCAAATCCGTAAAACATACTCTGCTGCATGACGTGATTTGTTTAGTCTCTGTGAAATTAAAGCTGGGGATGCCTATTGGACCATAATGGAATGGAGTTTCGATGATGCCCGTCTCACTAGCGATACAGATTTCCAATCAGGCATAATATTCTGTGAGCAACTCCGTGCATGGGCCCAGGATAAGTTAGCCGATCAGGCAACCTGTATTAATGATATTGTTCAAGAAAAGACAGAATCGGTAGAGAAATTTCACTCAAGATTGACACAAACTTTCTCTGATCTGAGTTTTAATTCATATAACAAGGCCCACACCCAGATGCTATCGGCAACCTTTGTGGCAGGCCTTAAAGAACCCATAAAGAAAGGATTAGTCTTGTCCCGCTCCGAGTACAGGATCATTCCCCTGGATACCCTCCTGTTGGTTGCAAAGGATCTAGAGTCTTCCCAACTGCCCTCAACGAGAAAGTCTGCTCCTCTTATGTTTCCCTTCCATAATCCTGCAATCAGACCTGCCCCAGCCCCTGCTGGGTACCCCGTACACCCATCTCTTGACCCACTCATGCCTCAGGTTCCTAGACCACAGACCAGAATCTGCTATAACCAGGGCCGGATTAAGAGCACACTGGGCCTGGTGCTGACAATTATGATGGGCCTAATTACGGAATTTTATCGACCAAAAACACTAAAACAGTCATACATCCCAAGCGTCATGTATCTGATGGAGATGGTGCTGGAGGGAAACTCATAGGATGCAGCTATAAGAAAAAACATACTCTATGCTTATCTCTCTCTAATTTATGCTTTCATCTTTCAAGTAAATCCATACCCCCTAACAGCAGTGTCCAGTGAAGCAGGAAGTCAATAGGCGGGGTAAAAGGGTGGGCCACTGGTGCGAATCACGTGACCAGACCTGCCAAAAGGGGTGAACATGCCCAAAAAGGGGGCATGTCTGTCCAAAGAATTTGAAGGACAGCCTGGCATGAATGCATGTCAGGCTGCCCGCCTATCCTGCAGGCTGTCCAACTAAGGGCATACTATGCAGGCAGCACCCTGAGCTTGACATACATGCATCTAATGATGCGCTCACTCCATGCTTTCTAAGGACTGTCCCCTAGCACTCGCTGGTCCACTTATCTCCTTACCTTCTTACTAGCAGGCAGAAGCTCCTGGTATATAATCTTGGACAGAGAAAAGATGTATGTAGTGAGTGTAGAAGAAAGGGGACATGCCACAGTGTTAGAGAGGCCAATGTCTGCATTACCTAAACTAATTTTATTGTCATCCAGTCCACACAAGTTTTGTTCCCATACATTCCTCTTAAGCTTACAAACTTAAAGGGACACTATAGTCACCAGAACAACTACAGCTTGTTGTATTTGTTCTGGTGAGAAGAATCATTCCGTTCAGGCCTTTTACAGTAAACACTGTCTTTTCAGAGAAAATAACTCCACTGACCACTCCTTAGATGGCTGCTAGAGGTGCTTCCTGGGGCAGTACTGCCTAGTGTGCAGCTATTTCAATTTATCTTTATGAGGAGATGCTGATTGGCCAGGGCTATGTTGGACTTGTGCTGGCTTTGCCCCTGATCTGCCTAGTTGACAGTCTCAGCCAATCCTATGGGGAAGTATTGTAATTTGCTCAGACCACCACTTCTGATGATGTCAGCAGACAGTCAGTTCAGAGGCAGAGCCAGCAGCTGCAGACTTGAATACAAGTTATATTTTACTATACTTAGGGAGGCAAGAAGGGGCCAGGGTGGTGGTTTTAACATAATAGGGTCAGAAATACATGATTGTGTTTCTGACCCTATAGTGCTCTTTTAAGCAAGAGTATGTGAAAAGTAGTTAGGGTTGCCACCTTTCTTGGAAAAAAATACCAGCCTTAATCATTTGTATAATCACAAGGAGTGACATCAGAGAAAATTCTGTAAAATCACCAACAAACTACTCACAGGTTGATTCTGCTGTATAGATGGATTGCTACCAGTGTCTCAGTCTCGCAAGTCACCCAATGTCTCAGTGTTCTATGTATCACAGTGTCAGTGTCCCCATGTCGCCCAGTCCCCTAGTCTCCCAGTGTCTCCATTTCTCCCAGAGTCCCAATGTCTCTGTGTGTCCCCATGTCACTAGGACATGGGGACACAGACATTTAGGGAAACTGTGAGAAATGGGGACACTGAGACACTAGAGACACAGACACTGGGAGACATGGGGAAACTGAAACATTTGGGGACACTAAGACACTAGGGACACAGAGACATGGGGACACAGACACTGGGAGACTAGGAGACACTGGTTGGGAGACAGACACTTGGGGACACTGGGAGACATGGGACAGTTGTGGACATAGACATGGGGACACTGGGACATATAGGGACACTGGGCACACTGAGAGACATGGGACACAGACACTGGGAGACTTGGGGACACTGAGACTCTAGCAACACTGGATGGGGGACATGGGGACACTGGGAGAAATGTCTCCGTGTCCCAATGTCTCAGTGTCTCCCAATGTCCCTATGTCTCACAGCATCCCCATGTGTCCCAGTGTACCCTTGTGTCTCAGTGTCCCCATGTTTTCCAGTGTCCCCAAGTGTCAGTGTCCCCATGTTTTCCTGTGTCCCAGTGTTTCCAGGTCTCCCAGTGTCTGTGTCCCCTAGTGTCTTTGTCCCCATGTGTCTCCTAGTGTATGTGTCACCTTGTGTCTGTGTCCCCATATGTCCCCTAGTGTCTCAGTGTTCCCTAGTGTCTCAGTGTCCCCATGTGTCCCTGCTGCCTTTCCCCCCATCCCTCACTTACCTGAGCTGTAGAGCTGCTGTCTGGACTCTCTGTGCTGTGTAGCTGCTCCCCCACGGATCAGTGAGTAGTAGAGAGAGGCAGGGATATTCTGTAACTTCCTATCCCTGCCTCTCTCCACACACAGTGACCCCTACTGGCCAGTGCTGGTATTGCAGGGTAATCTCCATTTATTCTGAGAAAATTACCTGCATTTGTATTGCCGGTATTACTGCAATACCGTCACGGCCAGGCAGCCTCACATACCGGCTGTGCCAGTAAAATAGCAGTCAGGTGGCAAACCTAAGAGTAGTGTGTTAAAAAAAAATTTTTTTTTTTTTTTTTTTTTTTTTAAATGGGCCTATTCCATGGGCCTGGGCCTGGAGCTGCAGCTCCATCAGCCCCTATGTTAATCCGGCCCTGGCTATAACTGTAAACAGCCAGGTCACTTTGGGAAAGACTGTCCTGCTCCTAGGGTTTCTAGGCCACAACCACAGGCTGTAAGACCACCCTACCCCATGGCTGGCTACCCTCCAACTGTCTACCCACCACCTCCAGCCCCAGGTTACGCCATGGCTGGCTACTACCCATCTCCAGCGCCCAGTTATCCTGTGTCTCATGACTATGCCGCCAGTTATCCAACAGATGACTATCCTTCCAATGGTTACCCGCCCACTGACCACCCAGCACCCATTCATCAACGTTCTGCACAACGTCCTCAACAATCTAACCATCCTACAGCAACCAACCGCCCCTATACAGGCCCTGACTAGGCCCATCTAGATCTTGTACAAAAGGTAACTGGCAAACCTGTATCTCATGCCCCTGTCATGGCAGTGTCTACAGGGGATAAAGGGGGGCCCCTAGCTAAAGTGGTCCTACCCATTGAAGGTCACCCTACTACCTTTTTAGTTGACACAGGCACAGCCCGTAGCGTTCTCAGAGAACAAGACCTGCCTGACTCCTCTTTCCTGTCCAGTATTGATGTTTCATGTGTAGGTGTAGATGGTACTCCCCGCAGTAATCCATTAACAAAGCCCCTGCAAGTGGGCACCTTTCCAGATCTCCTCACGCGCTTTGTGGTTTCCTCTACCTGTCCTATTAACCTGTTAGGTTCTGATGTTCTTTCCTGCCTACAGGCTTCTATCACTTTCACTCCTGATGGCCAGGTACAGTTACTAACCCCCCCGTCTAAGGAATATACTTCAGCTCTCTGTTCTCTGCCTCTCCTACATCACATGGAATCTCCCCACAGGGATGAAAGGGTCCCAGTTGATTCCCCCAGTGCACTAGATAGAGTCCCAGCTAAGCTGTGGTCCACTGGCCCCGAAGACATTGGAGGTCTCCAAGTTCCTCCAGTGGTTGTGAAACTGTTCCAAGGTGCTAACCCACCCCGAAGGCCACAGTATTCATTAAGACCTGCTCAGGCTCTTGCTATCTCTAAACAGGTTGAAATCCTTCTAGAAAAAGGCGCTCTTGTCAAATGTGAATCTCCATGCAATACCCCTTTGTTCCCAGTGAAGAAAAAGACTGAAAAGGGTGAACCGGTCAAGTATAGGATGGTTCAGGATCTCAGAGCTATCAATGAAGTCACTGTTCTGGACACCCCCATCGTTCCTAATCCTCACACCCTTCTGTCAGTAGTACCCCCTACTGCTAAGTTCTTCACGGTGGTTGATCTAGCAAATGCCTTCTTTAGTGTACCTTTGGCTCCCTCCTGCCAATACTTATTTGCATTCACCCATGACCATCAACAATATACGTGGACTGTCATGCCTCAAAGAGCACAAAATTCACCTAGTCAATTTGCAAAAGCCATGTCAATCATTCTGGAACCATGGCAAAAAACTCACACTGATGTGGTTCTCCACCAATATGTGGATGACCTCCTCCTCTGTGCAGATGACCTCCCAACTGTTGAACGTACCTCAGAAGATCTGCTTTGCTTTCAAGCAGAACAAGGCTGCAAGGCCTCCAAAAAGAAGCTACAATGGTGCCAGCCCTCTGTGGTCTTCTTGGGACATTGTCTTTCCCATGGCACCCGTCATCTTACTCGAGATAGAGTACGACGCATCATGTCCATCTGTCCACCACCAGCCCACAAGCCTCTTAATGCTTTCCTGGGCCTCATCTCCAACTGCAGGGCCTGGATTCCCGAAGCATCCACCCTGATGCAGCCTCTCTATGATGCACTCAAGACTGAACCTTTTTCTTTATCTCCTGAAGCCCTCTCTAGCTTCTTTGCTCTACAGTGTGCTATTTCCTCAGCCCCTGCATTGGGCCTCTCCAACTACCAAAAGCCTTTCAAGCTCTTCATCACTGAACGGTTGGGACATGCCTCTGGTGTTCTTACGTTATCCCATGGTTCCCGCCAACGTCCTATTGGCTACTATTCTTGTCAACTGGACCCTGTGGCAAGAGGAGGCCCTTTCTGTCTGCGAGCAGTTTTTGCAGCCTGTGCACTCCTGGATAAGACAAATGATCTAGTCCTCGGACACAAACTCACCATACTTGCACCTCATGACATTACTGCCATCCTCAATCAAGTTCAACAGAAGCATCTCAGATCTCAGAGACACCTTCGCCTGCAGACTTCTCTTTTCCTACCTGACAATGTCACCTTACAAAGATGTTACTCCCTCAATCCAGCCACTCTTCTGCCACTTCCCAGGGGGGGAATACCGCACTATTGGTAAAGCCCTGATATTGATCCCGACACTGCCTTTGAGCTACAAGTATGGAAACCCACCGTTCCACATGATGAGCAGCCTTTCCTACATTGCACCCTGTGGTTCAGAAATATCCCGGGTCCAGATCCCCACTACGAAGACAAGCTGTTCAAACTCGTGGAGGTACGCCTCATCTTGACAGACCTGTTCTATGACTCTTAAGGAAATAGTGTGGCTCTGGCCCTCTTACCCGTGGAAGTAAGACATGTATTATCACTGGAATCTGGCTGTTCCTCACGTCTCCTTCACCAAATCCCCAGAAATCTCATGGAAGGAACTTGGCCCATTGGCCAGCACATGGATCATTACAGATCAAGATCAACTTACTGCAGAGGGTGTCACCAAAAGAACAGTAAACTGCAAGACAACTGGTTACCCCACGATACCACACAGAAATATGTCTTGATGCCCCTCCCACAGACCAAGACCCAGATGCTCCTCCTGACTGCTTTGAACAGATGAAAATGGAGACAACACATCTTCCAACCGTACATGAAACTGCTTTACTTGAACCTGACTTCACTTTATTTGTGGATGGCTCCAGATATGCAGATGAGCAAGGAAAGTACCACACTGGATTCGCTGTAACCACAATGGTCCAGGTGCTTCAAGCATCGTCACTCCCCCCATCCATGTCTGCCCAAGAAGCTGAGCTGAAGGCTCTCACCACAGGATGCAAAATGTCTGAAGGAAAATGAGCCAATATCTACACTGATTCAAGATATGCTTTAGGTGTGGCACTTGACTTTGGATTAATCTGGAAGAAAAGGGGTTTCCTTACAGCAACAGACATGCCAGTCAAACATGGTACAGCTATCAAAGAGTTAATGGGTGCCCTGCTACTTCCTGAAGAAGTGGCTGTAAAGGATCCTTGCATTCGTGCAGCGATCATCCTTGCAGCTTCTCCCGAAATCCAACTGAAACGAAGTGATTATAACTCCCAATCCCCCAAACATGAGTCGAGACTTCATGAAGGGGTAAAATGATCTGATTTACTGTGGGCTACCCGCCCGGTATTTATGCAGGTCTTCCACCTGGTGGACACTCCCCTAGGGGACCAGATGGAAGACTGGGACAAAAGTAACACAGTAGCCAATCACAGTGGCTATAGCATAAGCACTCCCCTTTTACATAAATCACTCCCTCTTTTCCATCCTGGAGATAATTAACTTAAGGTAGCAAAGAGAGCCTTAATTATCTCCAGGAAGAAAGAAACATGGCTTTTCTTATTTAGCAAAACAGAATAAAAATATATAACTTTCTTTTTACACAACATAAACTTTAAGTTCCACATATCCCCAGATAGCTTGGATCTGAGGGCATATTCTAGGCGAATAGCGCTCAGATACCACGAACACAGTTCTCAGAATCGTCGACCAAAGTTTGACTTTCACCGGCCGTTCGTGTGTTTGCAGCCGACTGCAAGTTCCATACTATAGCTATCTGGGGTCGGTCACTTTCGCATACTTTCAGCGCATGAATGAAGTAGTACCCCTTCATTCGTGTGTTTTTCCACCGTATGAACGAAGGTAGCAGCGGTGTTCGACAAAATAGGTAGCCGAAATCAGTTCCAGGGAATCCTCACCATTTACCGCTGTGCGTTCGACAATACAAAATGGCGATTGCCACGTGTTCGGTAGACGAACGCAGACCACCAGCTATTCCCCAATTAGTCTGTGGTTAACCGCAACAGTCAGGGTGGTCAATAGGCGCCACACGACCTCAGTGGGAGGTCGGTGGTTTGGTAGTTCATTCGCATTTCTTGTTATTTCCACGAAATCCCGCTGTAATCCTCCAAATAACCGAACAGGCTTGTTCGTATAGTCTGTAAATAGGGGATTTCGTTACAGTGGCCATACTGAAGGTAAAGTTCCATGGGAGACTGAATTCAGAGGAAGCATGTGGCAACTACCTAGCTGACCAAGCTGCCAAGGATGCTGCTTGTGCACCAAGGGAAGTGGACAGAAGAGTGTCCGCTGAGGAAACCCCCATATTCACTAAGCAGATCTCAAATTCCTGAAAGAACGGCAAGCAACTGCTAACCCTGAGGAAAGACAGAGCTGGAAACAGAAAGGAGAAACTCTCCAAGATGGAATATATACCATTAACCTCAAGTTCTGCTTACCTAAAAACATGTACCCAGCAGTAGTCCAGTGGACCCATGGAGCAGCACATCTGTCCAATAACCTGATAAACTACCTGATCAACAGATACTATGAAGCACCAGGCATCACTTCCCTAACCAATAAATACTGCAGGTCCTGTACCATCTGTGCCAAATGCAACTCCGGGAGAACGGAAACAGCTCCCCTCAAGCATCTTGCCAAGCCTCAATATCCCTTTCAAAGCATCCAAATTGACCATATTCAGATGCCTAAAAGTGGCCGGTACAAATATGCACTCATCATAGTGGACATGTTCTCAGGATGGCCAGAAGCCTTTCCCGTCACCAACATGACAGCCAAAACCACGGCCAAACGTCTACTCACTGAAGTTGTGTGCAGATATGGAGTCCCAGAAGTAATAGAAAGTGACCAGGGCCCATCCTTCACTGCTGTCATGCGGTAACACTTCCGGGTTCAGCACTCCGCTGTGCGCAGCTGGACCCCGCCCGGCTCTGACAGTATTTAGGGAGACCGCGCCAGAGAGAGGGTGCTTGGTGATACTGGGAGCTACTTCCGCCAGACTTACCTCTCCACAGGTTATGGCAATGTGGGTCCGACTTCCGAGAGTACACGCCGGCTCTACAAACTCTGATGTTGTCTTAGCCATCGGGCTAAGACAAGTATGCTTCATGTGATAAAGGAATGCTGGAGAACAGAAACTCTTTTTACAAGTGGACCTTATCTCTTTACTATTGGAGGACTACTAACCTTAAGTATGTCTCTCATCTAATTATCTACAATCTCATTTAATAATGAATTTATGCTACAATCTCATTTAATAATGAACTAAGTCTTGCTTACTCAAATCTTCATTACTACAAGCTACTAATTATTTGGAGGACAACTCTCATCATGCTTATTCACTATGCTTATTTACCATGAACTGTTTCCTGCTTTGTAATTACACTCAGTGCTTCAAGCTACTAATTATATGGAGGACAACTCCCATCATGCTTATTAACTATGAACTGTTCTTGCTTGCAACTGTTCTCAGCTACTTGCTTAATATTACTATTGAAGATTATTCTCATTAACCTAAAGAATGTTACTTAATGCATCTCTGAAGAAATACTTATTAATGAACTTTGTGTTGTTGATTACATGCACTTCTACTTATTGGATTATTGCCTAAATGCAATTCATTTAAGTTTAACACTTATTAAAACTTCGTTTGAATCAAGTTACCAGCGATTCCCTCTTTTCTTAAAGCTACAGTATTGATACTTTTAAGTTTCTCTGTATCTTCACTAATGTAATTAGGGAGGTTTACAAGCTGCAGTTGAGTTCCAATCCAATTCACCCAAGTAGCGTAACAACTGCACTGGTGACTAAGGAAATCTGGGCAGCACTCGGGGTGACCCTTGCATTCCACGCACCCTATCACCCACAGAGTAGTGGCAAGGTAGAATGCATGAATGGCACCTTAAAAGCCAGAATGCTTAAAATGGTATACACCAGGTATACACCAAGAGGGAAGTTTGGCCTATCCCCGAAATCTTGTTTGGTTCAGCCCCCAGACTAGGCTGCTATTTCCCTCAACAGCTCCATCTTCAGTCAGATGTGTTGGTTGAATATGCAACTGCTCTCTCTCGGGCTTTGACCAAAATCCACGCACAAGTGTTTTCTTCCATTCCAGATCCAGAGTCTGATATGGGCACCCACAAGCTACTTCCTGGTGATTGGGTCCTGGTTAAGAAGTTCCTGAGGAAAAGCGCTCTTGAGCCGAGATATGATGGTCCTTTCCAAGTCCTGCTGACCACATCTATCTCAGTGAAATTGGCTGGGAAAAAGACTTGGATACACGCTTCACACTGCAGGAAAGTTTCAGCTCCAGAGGAAGCAGATCTCGCTAAGTCATGAGCTTCCTGTACCTTTTTCTGCTGCTAGGCCGTATAGAGGCCCAACAACTTGCCATCACTAAAGATAATCATGTTTACACATTTTGGTATAACTCTTCCAACACACATGTAGCCACATTCACATTTGACTACTGTGATATTGTCACTTGTACATTCCCACAATCATTGCTGTCAACAAACTACAAAGATATACCTAGTAAAAAGGACCCATACATATGTGTGACAGATGACTACTGGGGACATG